CCGCTTTTCTGTTGAAATTTTTTGTTATATACCTTACTGACCCCGAGACATTTCTAACGAATGCAAAACCCTGGAAATTAGTTCGTTCCGGACCGGAGTTATTTTTATATAGTAGATCTATTACAAATATCTAATTGTCATCATTAAGACATTACATATCTGACATTATAGGTCAATTGCATAGCTGTCAATTGTATTTCGTTATTCCACGTTTCATAGTGACTGACGTTTCATGTCAATTCCCACGGGAATGCTGTCGAACGGGATAAAAAGTATCCTATCGCAATTTCCTGGCTCTAAACTACCTCCCTGCCAATTTTCAGCTAAATCGGTTCAGCCGTTCTTGAGTTATAAGTGGGGTAACTAACACGACTTTCTTTTATATATATAGATTTTTCCTATAAAAGTTCCGTTATTTATATCAAAGAGTTTGTTAAGATTTTATACTTCTTGTGTTTAATACATTAAGTTTCGTCATATTACAAGCTGTTTCAAGACGTAGAAATAATAACATATCAAATTAATTATAAGTTTTCATACAAATTTTTAAGAAGCCTAACCCTAACTGACACTTATTCGTATATTGTATGTTTCATTAAATTTAAATCGTTTTAAACCAGAATGTTTGTCATATAACTGTCGATCACGCTAATAGTCATTTTAGAGAGCAATATATAATATAATATTAGTATTGTGAGCCAGTAAGTTGTTACAGATATAAAACTAAATCCAATCAAGCCTGTGAGTGTCACCGGGGACGTGATCAGGAGCTCCGATGCAATACACTTTATATTAAAGATATTAATATATATTAAGTTATAGCAGGGACGATATTACTTTTATTACAAACACTTGGTATCGACTATAATAATAGATAACAACTATTTTATAAATGCTGTACATTTAGATACTTGGTCGTGGAGATCCTTGGGGGAGGCCTATGTCCTGCAGTGGACGTCTTTCAGCTGAAATGATGATAGATACTTGCGTTTTAATTCCTTGTAACATATGACTTACCGAAAAATTATATTCAATTTATATATGTTACCAATGTAATAATATTCATTTAATGATTATACACGTTTGGGGCTTTAAATCCATTGATTATAATTCATAGGATAAAAATTCTGGATATAATTCGTAACATCTTATATTGTCTCACTGCTGGACCGATATTAACCACACTTTAACTATTAGTAACCTATCCATCTATTAATTCAATTCTTTTTAAGTCTATAGCCTTATTATAAGTAGATAATATAATATAGAAATCTATTTAATTTTCTCAAAATTTCAAACATCACTTACTCCAAGAGAATCTACCGTAGACTTCAAGACTTTTTTATAACATAATAGTATAGTTGTACATAATAGAAAAGTAAGATCATTGGTACATAAATATATAAGGTATGTGAAAAACAGGGCACGTCTTAATAAATTGGATGAAGCAGATCTAACAGTTTTATTGGGAATAACGTTAGGTAATAAAATTCATCGGAGACCTTAAATAAATAAGTTATCGGACGTCTTAGCTTCGGATGCGATTAAAAAGGTAAGGCGGGTACATACTTACACTACAATAAAACATCGCAGACACTGACAAGATTTTGATCTAAATATATCTTAATACGTAAATATATATACATATGTAAGAATAATTCTTATATTGTAAATGTAACCAAAATAATAATTTAGTAGGTATAGTTTGAATTTGGCCACAAATATTTACGTATTTCATTGATACCAATATGGGACTCATTTCATCAAGAACGAATAATTGTACTAATATATGTATTATTACTCATCGGTAAACTGAATACTCTATGTGTAGTTTTTCATACATGTATCTAATTATACGATACTATCAAAGAATTGAGATGGATATTAGACTGTTAACAGCCTGTGTTTAGTTTACTGTGAGCAAACTTGTAGTAATTCATTAGTATGTGAAGCGACTCATCCGAAACCAAACAAGTTTTAGTTGTAAGAACCGCTAAATATTTCATTGTTTTAAATATTTAACTACACGATTATCTGAATGAAGATACTGATACATTGTTTTAAAGTATTGCTCCAACGAATAAAAGCATTTAAATTGACAAACCTATATAAAACGAAGAGAGAAAAAACTTATTTTCACAAATGTCCAAACATGAATGAACATCTCTCCATGTTTATTACTTATGATGAAGGGTCTCGTGTAATCCTGCCTTTGATTATTTAATAAATACTGTTACACTGAATGAATGGAGGATAGAATTGACATAATTTAGAAAATAAAGAGTAAATAAAAGCAGACGAATATATTTATGTAATTCATGTTATATATAATTAAAGCCATGTGTGAATAATATGTAATTCTTTGAGATCTTACAATTCCTTACACTTTCCTTATAACCAAAACTAAGGCGTAGTTACTTAATCTATTTATTTTTGACAAAAATCAAATATTACTCAACTTAATAAAAAATTTTTAACTATCCTAACTAACAAATCAATCGTAAAAACTTATCGAACATATATTAATACAAAACAGCAAAATTGTCACGATTTTGCAATTACTTTAAAATTAATGTGGACGTTAATGTGACGTAACAATTGACATACACTCGTAAAAGTAATTTACGTGCATCAGTAATTTCCTATTAATATCCTCCATTTTAAATCATTTAATATTATGTTATTTACATACATAAATCTTATTTATGATAATTAATAGAAGTAAACACATGTTTTTACCTTCACGTGCACCTAAATAACCAAGTAGCGTCAGGAGGCATACACAGATTATAAAAACAACAATTATTTGGACTCAGATGGTGTCTTTGTGATTTATTTTAATAAACTTAATTCATAATAATTAGTTAGATATTTTTTTAGCTATTATTGAAATTTTATAATAATCCGCATTCAGGGGTATTTAAAAGAGATTTACGTTTAATCCTTTGTATGGTTTAAAACACGCTAAGATTCACTTCTTCCTGCAAAGTTTTTGAATAAAATACAAATGGCGGCTCCATGTTTGAATTGATTCTTTCTTTCATAATCTCTGTTTCATAAAGCAAATACAAATCATTGTAAAAAGTAAAAAGAAAAATAATAAAAGCATTTTTTAAATTCAGAGACGTAAAATAGGCACAAGATTGAGATAAGACTATTGTCAAGAAAAAAAGGACTGTGGACGTCATGATCAAAACCTATAGCTTTAACATCATTCAATTGATTTTATTATAAAGAATATATCCAACTGCAGCAAATTTTTTTTTTAATATTTCATATATTTTTTATTACTAAAATGACAATAAACCTTGTTTAAAAGAAATATGTAGTATGTAGGTACCTATAATATTCATATTGTATTATAAATTCTTTTAAATGAAATCTAGCTTGCCAGTAGCCACAATAAGTTAGAAACTGAATTAACAAAAATTTTATTATCAAAACTAAAAAACAAATTGTGTCTAATTCCGAGGAATAGGCTTTGCACTAAAAACATATAATACTATTAATAGAAGAGCCTGTGAACATATATAACATATACAATGTGTACAATAGTAATACATCGGAGAAAGAAAAAAGATAGCTATATGCATACATCTGACCGGATGTGTATCTCAGATTTTTTTATCATCTGATTTTTATACGCAATGAATAAGTCTGCCGTTAACAATATTTGTTTTTAAGACTATAATAAATAAAATATATTGATGGCAGATCCGGTCAATTTCAAAAAAAAAAAAAAATTTCAAAATTGTATGAAACAATGTTAAACACGTGATAGTGGTCTGCCATTGTTTTTTTCCTCTAATAATAATAATATATTTTCAAATATCAAAACGGCACACGTGATCAAATGCATTTATAAATAGCCAATAATCGATACCTATCCTACCTGCGCACTCGCCGCGTCATCCACTTTGGGCTTAGTGAGTCTCCATCTCATGTACGGTAGGTAAAGGGGTCTCAATGTACAAAAATCCAGGTCTGGTCAAATACATACAGGTATACGTTCACTGGCTCTTAAACCATATTATAATACTTACCACTAAAACTAGAATTTTTTGTAATTCTTGTCTGTGTTCGTTCTCTTTAGTCTCTGAAACGGCTGAATCAATTTAAACGAGAATCTCATTTACGGATAGATAATGTCATAGAAAGTAACTTAGACAATGCTTATTTATTTATACGCTATTACTCTGTTAATTAGAGGACGATTTTGATGGAAAGCATAGTATAATATGCAGGCGAAGTCAGAGGCTGGGCTTTTTATAAATAATACATATTTACATCATCATTTAATCTATATTTAAAGTTACAACAAAATCAGTACAATAGAAATACAATAGATATATAATTAATAAATCACACAATATATATATACAGTACAAACACAAGCCACATATAAAATACACTCTTAAGAATTATTATTAACACATAGAAATCATTTTATTATGAAAAACAATATTTATTTAGTTGAGATATTATAAAAAAAGGATGTGTTTGGTAAATAAAACACAGGCATTATAAATATTAACAAAGAAATACTTTTGAATGTTCATTACATATTGTTTAAACTATTTATTAATCTATACTTTATTAAAACTTCTCAGACCTTATATTAAAGCAAATATAAAATAACTACATAGTTTTTTTTTATAAACTATGTTTTAAATAAAGCTTTATATTTTAACCTACCTTCGTTTTTATCGTCCTAACTTTAGTCACTTTAGTCATTCAATATAAGGGCCGGTTTTTATTTGTTATAAATTCTTTGTTAATACATTATTATATTTTCGGTCATGATTCCAGTATTAATATAATTATCATTATAATAACTACCAAATGTATGTGAAACTGACGAAAGTTGTATCTTAAGTTAATCATAACAAGTCAAGTGATATCATAGAAAATAATTCAATTATTTTCATTATTAAAGCCCGAATACTTAAATACTTAGTTAAGCAGTCACTAATATTAATTATCATATATTTTCTTCTAGATTACTTCCTTCCATTGTTGTTTGGTCTGGTGTAGGGATGCGAGTTGACTCTGTCTCTTGCTCGAACAGCTTTAAAACCAACTGATCTTTCTTTTACAACGCCCCTTTTTGATGCATCTGTTAGTTAGGTTAAAAAGACGACACAAATAATGTTAGTAAAGTAATTAATAATATATACATATATAATTTTATGTAAACCAAAACCTTAATTAACGAGAATACTTTTGATTTAAAATTAAATCATATTGATGTTGAATCTAGTATTTATTTTAAATAATTAATTGTTGATATTGGTGATCACATAACGAAATATTAATTTCATTGTCATATTAATTATAGAATTTAAATTATTTCGATTATAGATTACTTTTGCAAATGAAATATATTATTTTTTTATATAAATTAGAACATATAAGACAACACAAAACATAAACATCTCCATATTATTTTATCTTACTGGTGAAAAATTAAGATTAGTTACTTTGAGAACTTTGATAGTTCACATCTAGTATAAAAAATCTATGGTTATTCTAATAAAATATATACATATAATCCACTCAGAAAAGTATCTTTTACTAACATTAAACCACTTGTATCAAGTAACCAATCAAATTAATATTGTATATTTCCTCAACCATTATGTTTACGCCAAGTTTTGCATCGTCACACTACATACGAAGCGTAAACAGTTTTTATTCATAAATCTTGCCACACTATAGAAACATTTGTCGTGTACGCGGTAAAATTGGGAGCGAGAGAGATAACATCTAAGTATCTCTACAATCTACTAAAAGACTTGAGCCTATCCAGAACTCACATTAATTAATTCTTAGAACGTACTTCGTAGGCAGCCCTAGTAGGTTTGTTTCAAATTTAGTAGAAAGAGGAGTTTGGACAGTGGAGGTGAGAGTTAAACGCGAATTAGATAGGGTCCCTTAAACCTACACCTGGGTCACAAGCCACAGTCACTGTTGAAGTTCCTCTCACTACAACGATGGACCCGACACCCGTACGGTGAATACATTGGATGCTACGAAGTTTCATCCCTTAATGTCGGTTAAATAACCCACGTTAAGAGACGAATGTTCCGTAAATAAGGAAAAAGAAATGCTTCGTATGTAGTGTGACAGTGTACATCTCATACTCATATCACTCTGTTCTAGCAACTTTTTGTTATATATAATGTATTTATATATAGTTTTTAATTATATACCTTGTATATTTATCTGTCGTTCCAGAGGTCTGCCATCTCTCGCCACGCTCGAACCAAAACCCGTTCTGACGACACGAAGAGCTTTACCAACTACCGGCTTTGCTGTTTTGGCTGAAACAGTATATTATTTATGATAGTTATAACTTTTTATTTCTAAAATACATAACACTAACATATATACAGGGTGACTGGTGAATTACTATCGATATTTGAGGACGTGATATTTGACGATCATATATGACAAAATAAAAATTAATATAACATAAATATTAATAAACTTCTGAGTAAAGTTAACCAAAAGTTATGTAATTAGTTACGCATCGTATGAACACCCTACAGATTAGGTATACACACACACTCACACATACGCGCACGGAGGCGTGTTGTTGTATCAGCACGCCGCCGCACGCGTCCACACTTGGAACACTTGGAACGTGTATACACTTTATTTATTTATACGGAAATTTGGTCAAAAATTAAGTACCTATTTTTTTTACATAATTCGAATGAGAATCATGTACCGAGTATGCTCCTTAAATATTGATAGTAATTCACCAGTCACCCTGTATATATAAATTGGTGTGAAAGTTTTATCACCCATTACAGTTCAAAATATCACCATTTAGCTAGCCTGAAATGTCGTACATATTTGAACCATTGTAGGTTTTTATTTTTGTTGCTGACTGTTGTTTAACAATATTATTATTCCTATATTTTGGATTAAAATTCACATAGCCAAATGATATTTACTCATTAATCATAGACATCTACTTTCTATATATGTATACACTAGCTGAGCCCCGCGGTGTTACCCGCTTATTTCCGGGTAGTAAAGTAGCCTATGTGTTATTCCGTCAGCTTCCTGTATACAAAATTTTATCAAAATCCGTTCAGCCGTTTGAGCTTGAAGAAGTAATAAACATACACACACACTCACAAACTTTCGCAATTATAATATTAGTAGGATTGTCCATACCTCTATTATCATTAAACACGATAGATCTCTGTATAGTGTTAGTTCTATCGAACAGTCCCTTCTTCGCGGGCGGCTCCTCCTTTTCACTTTTGCCAGCCGTAGTCTGCCACGCTTCTTGTTTGCCAGCCAAAACGAACGTAGAATTCAAATCGTTGGCGTCTAGTGGAGCATAGTTCTCCAAATCTATAACCGGATTGACCTCCCGCTTGATTTTCTTCGCTGAATTCAAGTTCTTAGTGACGTCCAAGCTGTCGAACGAGTCATTGATGAGTATAGTTTCGTTGTTGACCAGTTTTATGGGCGTTCCTTTACGTTTCGGCTCAACGTTTTCAACATCCGTGCTATCTTCACAGTCAGTTGCGTCGACACTTGAGTTAAGGTCGTCTTTGTCCTCCATATAGTCCAATATAGTCGTAGGTTTGTCTAAATCTAGATTGGATACGAATCTGAAGTGCGGATCGGTATTTTCATCACCCGACCAAGAGATTCCTTTGGCGGATTTAGCTTTCTTCATGATGTCCAAGTACTCAGCGGTGAGCGCGGGCGGCGCTTTGTCGTATCCCTTCAGCGTGAGATACAACTTCTTGATCATATGCGGCATGTTGCTCATATATTTCGTGTTAAAGTTATTCTCCTTAGCCTCGATGGCCAGTAGTTTGTATCTCAGGTCGCTCTTTATGTTGGAGTGCTGTAGTTTGATCTCAGTCTGTAGATACTTCACAAAGTCACTCAACTCCGGGTAGTTGGTGACGGCGTCTTCGAACATAGCGTTTATTTTGTTCTGGCTCTCGTTCCACTTCGTCCAGGCGTTCTGTATTTTGGTATCCAAAGAGACAGATTGTTTCACAAAATTCTCAGCGGCTCGCTCTTCTCTCGGTATATCTTCTGTGCATATCTGAAATTTTCAATTTGAAATCTGAATTTTGCGAGCATTACCTCATATAGTTTTTCTCCAAGCATCCAAAGGAATAAGGTTTAAAGAATTTATTCTCAAAAAGACATAGTCGCTTACATGAGAACATACATACAAAAGTAAAAATACAAAAGTAGTCGCCAGATTATTTGGAACTCAATTAAAGATAGTAAGATATTATTACAGTGTGTTGGTATATCAATTATTTATTATTTATTTATTTTCTAAAATATGTTGTGAAAGTTGAATAACTGTACATTAAAACATTAGATGGCTTTCCCTGAGCCTAATCTAATTGTGTGTTACCTGATGCATAGCTATATATAGTTACCTGATGCATAGTTTATACTTGTTACATATAGTTACCTGATGCATAGTGTCGTTGGAGGAGCGATGCGCGAATCCTTCCACACGTCGCGCGGCTCTTGACTGCATCCTTCTCCGGAGAGCCAGGACTCGAGCCTGGGACATGAGGGACAATAAGTGTGACTGGAGAGACGAGTGTGCACTCACGGCGGAGCTGAGGCGAGAACGACATTCCTGGACTGAAACAATACAAGTAATCTATATATACTAGGAGACCCGGCGAACTTCGTATCGCCCTATAATCAAGAAATATCTGTTACGTTTTTTTATTTATATTTTTCGAGTTTACCCATTAAAGCCATAAATCTCCGTGTTTTGAAGTGCGACAGAATGATTGACATATTAGTTAGTTGTCAAATCTAATGTCAGAAAAAAAAACGTTTGTATCAACAACTACTAATAAATTAAAAAATAATTAAAAAAACATTGTCCAGCAGACAAAATTTTAAATCTTAATCATTCCCCGATCCCTTTGAACACACACAAAAAAATTCATCCAAATCGGTCCAGTTGTTTGAGAGAAATTCAGTGACATACACACTCACAGAAGAATTATATATATAAAGATATAAGAGATTTCCACCTATATATTGACTCATCACGATATCTCTGGAATCATAAGGCGTAGCGACTTGAAATTTGGTAGGATTATTCCTTTCGCCGAGTATAGGTCAGCTAAGAACGAATTTTACGAAATTCCACCAGCAAGGGGGGTTACGGGGGGTTAACAATGAAAAATACGCTTTCACGCCTAAACCACTCAACTGATTTTAATGAAATTTGGTACAAATGGACTTGAACTTGAGAAAGAACATGGGATAGTTTTATCCCAGACTGTTGAAAGGTTCTCTTGGAAACGCGATATAACCGAACTCCACGCGGGCGAAGCTGCGGTGGGAAAGCTACACTTATATGTCTTATACATATATTATATATACATGACATTACAACTTGTGTCTCTTTAATATAGGAAAATATATTTGTTTAAAATCAATCAGGTTAAATATCTCATATGTTAGGTGTAATAAGTTAATGTTCTACTTAATTTAGTCTCAAATGAATGTTTCAAGTATGTAGATATTGATTACTAGTGATACCTTTGGATTTATCTACTCCTGGCTCGACCTTTACGTTCTTAACACTGGTTAAGGTCAGTTTCGCTTCCAATTCCTTGACCTTCTTTTTCAACTCCTCAACAATCTTAACATATTGTGACAACCTCATCTGACCATCGACTATATTCTTCTTGATGCTTAACTGTATTTTATTAGCCCGAGCCGCATATTTCAATGTATTGTACGTATCTTCATAGCTTGTACTGGATGGCGATACATTTGCTATCATAACAGTCTTACAATTTCCACCGAGACTGTCCTTAAGGAGACGCGTTAGTTTGGAGTCCCTGTAAGCACTATATATTTATATATATGTACAGAACAAACAAGTTTAGTATGTAATTATAATAAGTTAGTCATAAACCTGTAGGGTATATAGCTACTGCCGTCTGCTAGCTTATTGATACAGTTCCCGAGCGATAGTAAACTCTTGTTGATGTTTGCCCCTTCTTTGAATCTCTCTCCGACGCAGCCTGTGGCCGAAGCACGTTCACTACCAGCTAAATCAATCATTGAAAGCTTGACGAGTCTCAGTTGACTGCTGGTTTTATATCTCATAGTCACATACACCTATTGAGATGGTTAATGTAAGTTGTAATTATCACATAACAAATATTAGAGATTACATAGAATTAAGATATTGTCTTAATAAATATATCAAAAAGATTTATCTTATACCTGAAAGACTGCATGGCTTCTAGAGCTTTCAGCATTTGCATCGGTAGGATGTTGCGTTCTTTTTTTATTTCCATTCTCAAGCATATTCAATAACTCTCTAGCTGTCTTAATGTTGTTCAGTGTAAGCCCAGCGACCATCACTCCATACTTTGAATCTTCCCTCAATTGCAGCGGAGTACTTGATGGCTTCAGCAAGTCATATACATTCTCGTTATAAACCTAAAAGTTTTTAAATAGATGATACATTTTTCTTATTATAAATATTATCATCATCATCAGCCTATGAGAGCCTACTGCTGAGCAAAGGCCTCTTCTCACATGGAGAAGGTTTGAGCATTAATCACTACACTTGCTCAAGACGGGTTAGTGATTTCAAACTTATATTTGTGTAAATATTATATAACAATTAAAATTTATACAAATATAGTATTTAAAATGATAGTGTTTAATACTTACTTCTATATAAGAGACGCCGATATCAAACTCTCTATCTTTTTCAAACGAATTGATAGTATAGAAAAGATGTTCCATAGTCAAATAAGTTATGCCAGGGTTCTCTTTATTACCAATCATAGTAAAAGTCTTTCCCGCGCCGGTGGCCCCGTACACAAACACAGAACAGTTATAGCCCTCCATCAAGGAATTTAACATGTCTTTAGTGGCTATTTCGAATACGTCACGATTAGTCGAATTTTGGCCACACACGTTATCGAAAACAAATTTCAGCTCTTTATTCGCACGTTTTAAAAAGTTTTTATTAGGTTGTTGGACTCCTTGATAGAAGAAAGGTCGCATTTGTTCCTTGGGGTCAAATACCAACATTTTATCATCCACAACATCTACCACAATACGATTGTTTTGTTCCTTTTCTTTATCGTTCAAGGGCCGCACCCTGACGACCACTCGTATATTTGCTGCCATATTCTGTGTCGAACCACTTCTTGACGGAACAAGAGCTGGAACGCCTTTCGGACCACCAAAGCCAGGACCTTTTTCGACTTTCACCATTTTAACAAAATCCTTTTATCATTAAGACTTTGTTTATAACATCAAATACACTAATAAAACTAACGCCTACGTCACAATTATATCTTTTATATCCGCACCACTTAATTAAAATAGTAAATGAACATCTACACAAAATCGTTTCACTAGTTCAAAATTTTAAATGGCATCGTAACCGTCAAAATTTTAAAATTGACTGATGCTAAAGAACGCGCGTACGTATCTAGTGTGTCACCTGTCTTTCGTTCGGAAATAGTAAAAACAAAGTTATTTATGTATTTATGTATACATATATTTTATAAAAACTTCTTAATTGACATTATTTAAAAGAAGTCTTAGTGTCTAGATATTTTTTTCAGATAATTGAGATAAAATCTAAAAATGAACGTAATGTTTACAGAATAAAAATAACAAAAAAATGGCCAAAAGTAGATTTTGATTTAGATCGAATATTGTACTCTTTTTAATTTGATTAATAATACTTTGGTTTTTATTGTAAAAATACCTTAAAAATGATAATTGAGAAATTTATATTATGAAAATATAGTTCTTAAAACTTTTCAAAAATAATTTTCAAAAACAAAATGTCTACTTTTAGAAATGAATCAGTTAGCATTCTTTTAACAATTACTTTAAAAGCTAGTGATGAGAAGACTTTGCTATGTAAGACAACTCCATATACATGGTGTGTTTAATATTTCACTAGCTGCTACTGAAATGGATATTCACTGTCTCCTTCGATGATTATTTTAGGCGCGTTCGGAAATAAAAAGAACCCACTCTTTAATTTTAAGACATTAACGCAGTTTGCTTCAGATAACTCTCGTTCATAAATAAAAATGCAAACACTTATTACGATTCTTAGTGTTTTATCAAATTTTAATAGTTGAATAGTTCAAAGACTACGGCAGAATGGAAATTTATGATTATCTATATTATTCTAAAAATATATTTAAAAACCAAACTGCCCAAATAAAGTGAAAAGGTTGACTCCATCGCTGTTATAAGAAATATTCATATTTACATTGTTGTGAATTATAGAATTAATCAAACTAATTTTAAAATAAATATTACCTATGTAATTTTTTATCAAAAATGTATTTAAAAATATCGTAATTAAATATGTTTTTTTGTAACATTACGTAGTTTTTTAATGTTGTATTATAATATAACGATTTCATATTCAATAGCTAAAATAGTACTAAGCGTATTTGTAAATTGTTAAATCTTAAAGTAGCAGTAACAGATCTTGTTTTATATATGGCGTGACTTCATTCGCACTGGAATCTTTGAATATTTCGCCAACGTTTTTATTTGTTAGAAGAATTATAATCTTGAGTAGTGTTTGGACAATACACGAACGAGTTTGTCGAATTGAATAAAGGCATTTGTTAATAATTATTTTTTAAAGACTCCAGTTATATTTTTGACAGTATGTAGAACAACAAAAAAAAACTAATTTTTCAATCAGTTCAAATTAAGTGCGTTGTTACGTATAGGGAGGGTTCTAGCTAGTGCGCATGCGCATGCTCTCAGTGGGCTACCTTGTACTTGTGTGGCTTCAATTTTACAACTGTAACACTTTTACTACTAATTAGTGTTTTAAACTAAGTCAGACAACGTTACCTACGAAATTTCGTTTTCAATTAAAACTTTTGGCTCAAAGGAAATACGAGAAAAAATGTATTACCTGTGAAACTACGAGGTTCGCTGTAATGAAATGTTTCCTTTGATAATGTTGGGAATATAGTTTATTATATTGAAGAAACTATTTCAAAGAGGTACTGTATATTATGTCGTATTTTTACGCACGTAACTACGTAATCTCTGCTGATATATAAGAAAAGAGTTCATCTCATTTAAAAGAAAAATAGCTTTAGCATTTTTACGTAAATCATAAGGTGCCCGCCATTTTAAATAGTGTTGTCGTATTAACATAAAGGAACAGAAAATTAGTCTTCTGATGACCGCAATTCATGAAAAAATATACCCTTTTAATTAAATCAAATATGGTGACAATATGGCTACTTAATATTAATATGAAAATGTGTTTCTACTATATATTATGTAAATATAATTAAAGATTTATACAAAAATATGACAACTTCATCGTAATCATTTATAATTTATCGATTTGACAATGCTTCACCAACTGTCTACAGTATGAAATTAATTTAATTAAAATAATAGAAGTTTTCTGTAAAGCCTGTATCTCGCCAAAATTACTGAATTCATTTCGGTATGACGTTTAAGTGTTGATATATTCAGAATAATGGAACTAAAGTTTTATAAAGCTTTGTATGCATTTGATGGCGTATGTTTTCTTGGATATATTAAAATAATTAATACGTCAAAACAGATGAAGGTACAGTTATTAACTTGTAAATAATATGAAAAAAATATAAATTTAATAGTCTTTTTGATCTAACACACGCTCAAAGATCAAGGGTTCAAAACTCTTTTGATAAGTAATGAATCTGTGAAACTATGTGCAGCGAAGCGTCTACTACACGGCCATTGAAACTAGACCGTGGTTTAATATGACACCTGTCAAAAAAAAACAAGTAACCGTTCAGAAACTGATGTTATATAAATATTTATTTACATAAATAATTGTCATGACCAGAGGCGGGATTGACGAAATCGGTTTATCCATAGAGAATAAGGTTTATTTATACATAGCGGACGGCGTCTTCATTGCGACGACGTTGTATAAGAAACAAATACAATTTCCTCTTAATTTCCGACGTTGATCTTATCTGGTCGTAACTAGAGCCTTAGAATTCAAACGGGACTCCACTTTAACTTTGGTGAATTTCATTCAGGACGCATTGTATGGACTTTGTTAAAAAATATCGATTAACTCTCAAACTTGGCGTATTTCTTTTATGTGTAGTAAAAATTTTAAGAATAGATTAAATTATTGTTGTTTAGATATAATTGTAGTTTAATATTCTTACCTAAGAGTAATAACTGACGAGGAATTACTAAGCATATCTTGATATTAAAAAGTTTCTTTTCAGGTCAATTAGAATATAATTAGAATTGCTTCGAATAAATTATACCCACGCCTGATCCTTCTTTTTTAAATATTATTATACATCTCAGTGTTGCCATATAGTAATTTTTATATACTATAGAATTACAGTAAATTATTTTCAAATGTTTTTATACTTATTTTATATTGACAAGGCAATTTTAATTCGGAACGAAAACATTAAGTAGGAGTAAGAGGTTTTGGGAGAAGTTCTGTGATGCTTTGTTCTTTTAAAAGCAGTTAGTTTTGCATTCTGATCATTTTATTTTTAAAATAAAATGAATCAAAACAAAAGAGGCGTTGTATGAAACTATTAACAGCTTAATCCTTTTTTGATAAAAAAATTATGAACAATTATTATTTTATACCCACTTAAGACTTATAGCAATTTAATATAGTGGCATTTATCCCACTACATTTTACTTACATTTCTGAATTTTAACCGATATTACATTTTTAAATAATAGGACGTGAAGCAAAGATTAAAGTTTTTTTCGTCAAGTAGAACCAACATTTAAAGACGGTCAAATAATGCCTTTTAGTTTATACCTAGGTAATATTTTAAAAAGATGTGAAATGTATATATTCGTTACTTAATAAATACTAACAATGTTACGAGCCTGTGTGATATTTAGAAATTGGCGTGGTTTGAGCACTAATGATGGATTCTTGCAATTATATTTGACTTTAAATTAAGTTCCTATTACAGTAAGAAACAATATTGCCATATAACAAGTAACATATTATGAATGTGTCCAAAAAGTGGTCCAAATCGGGACACATCTTAAAATTTCTAAATCCATTTTTTTAGTGTAATCCTAATAGTAGTAATCGCGTAGTTGACTTTTGATAAGAGGACATACTTAGTTGTGTAACTTTTATTATATGTTTAACTTCTTGTTTTTTCCTGACCCTCACACATAATTCGAATGTACTCGACATCACATTAAAATTACATAATATAAATGAATGAAAGGACAGCATATTAATAGTGTACAGATAAAAAATAAATAAAATAAATAATATAGTTATTGAAAAAAGAACGCGGAAACTTTTTATTATAAAAAAAATAAAGTGGTGATATGAAAAAAAACGCATTCAAGTAATCGTTATTGAAACAAAAACTCGTAAAAAAAAAGCAATGATTAGAAAAATAACGTAATGCATTCGTAGATTGTGAACTTTTTCAACATATACTAATTATTATAATAAGAACTATCTCTAAACCATCTGAATATTTAATAAGATACAATCAAAGCAATATTTAACCGTCGCGAAGTTTAAGATAACCCTCGCTTGTCAAGAATTTCAACACAAAATCGATTCCAGCTTGTAATTTCTCGTTAATCGATTCTGATTCAGCAAGTTCTTGATTGAAATGGAGTTGCAGATTCCAACGCGATTAAATGTTTGTGAAAGTAGTGTTTGCTTGTCCAATCGCCTGTATTAGTTTTTGCGGAGCACGTCGCGCGAATAGAATTGACGAATTTACGAATGACATTGTTTACTTTGAGTTGACATGTTGCTTTAGTGTTGCCACAGAATATAAAACGATTACGAATAAATTACAAATGGGAAGATTATTACTGATACTTATTGTCAACTTTTTATTTGCTTTAAGTTAATACAATTAACAAAATATCGAGTATTCAACTCGTGTGAATATAAATAAAAGGTCTCACTTCTAATCCGAGTGTTAAAATTTAATTGAGATTAATAGATTTCAATTTGATAGACCATTTAATTTTCATTGAAAATATTTAACCTTTTCTAATGGAAAGAAAAATTGTATTAAAAAACAATCAGCATTTTCTATTTTAAAAAATGGATATAGACATAATATACTGTAAATAATTATTGTAAATTCACTCCAAAAAATAATATATTCGCTAATTTTTCTTTGACTTTTGCTACATAATGTTTTAGTAAAAATTATACAATTTTAACTATTAAATAAATCTCCTAC